ATTGCATCCTGGCAGGACCTTGCTCAGCCACTTCCCCTGATTGTTAATCTCCATCTGACTGCAGGGAGGCGGCTCTGGGGCCGTTGATTCAGGCGATAAACTGAACTTCCTATGTGGATGTGCAGGAGTGGGCTGTGACAGCTGCCCTCAGGGTCACTGTGCCTGCACTGCACAGCCCTGGAGCTGATGCTGGTGCTGTTCAGCCCCTTCCCCCCCCCCCCCCCCCCAGATACAGCCTCCACGCACCCCCACATCCCCACTGCTGCTGCACGACTCAGGTGTGTGCAGTGGGGGCAGGAATGGGGGCAATCCACCGAGCTGTGACTCAGCTCCTTGCCCCAAGCAGATTCAACCTCTGCAGGTTGTGACAATGTGATTAAGCAGCAATTACCCCCAAATTCAATTCGATTAGGCTGTGGGGAATGCTGAGCTCTGCAGATGCACGTGACAATGGCAATGCCCGTGCAGGGCAAGGGGAGGAGGGGCACGAGGGCACTGCCGGGGGGGGGCTGCGGTGGAGTGATGGCAGGGGAAGATTAAACCGAGACACGGATCTTTAATTGCAAAGATCAAATCCCCCAAATCAGGCTCATTCTTATGTACAACATGCAGCCGCCAATTACATTTCACACACGTTTCATTTTCTGTCGTTCCCCTTCTAAATTTTGCATAGGAAGCGCTGACTCTCCCCGCAGGTACGCAGCCCAGCCTCCCCCTCTCCCGCACTGTCCAAACCGGCCGCCGCCAGGGGGAGCCCCGCACCCCGCACCCCGCACCCCGCACCCCGCTCCGGCTCCGCTCCCGATCCCGCTGCTCGGCCCCCCCCCAGCCCACTCCGAGGCTGTGCACCCCGACGAGAGCCTCTGCAGCCACCAGAGCAGCGTCTCCTCGTGATTAATGGTAATCGTTAAATCCATACCAAGGAGAGAACCGTCACAGCAAAGGAAGACTCTTTTCTGATGCCAACGGCCCCCTGGGATGAGCAGAGATGCGCTGAGGCCGTAGGAGGGGAAATGCTTTCCCTGCAGCCTCTGCTGATGCTCATGGCTGATATTGTCCCCCCGGCCATGCAGTGCAGGGGGGTCCTGGGCACCCACCAGCAGCTAACAGAACCACAGAATGGCCCGGGTTGGAAGGGACCTCGAGGATCATGAAGCTCCAACCCCCCGCCACACGCAGGGCCACCAACCTCTACTTAATAACAGCCCAGGCTGCCCAGGGCCCCATCCAACCTGGCCTTGAACACCTCCAGGGATGGACGGGGCATCACAGCCTCTCTGGGCAGCTGTTCCAGCACCTCACCAGCTCCCAGCTGTGCACTGTGTGCAGGATGGATACGATCTGAGCACAGCCCCAGGAATCACGCAGGCAACACAGCAGCAGCTGTGGGCAGACTCAGGACACATCCAAACCCATCTCAAGGATGAATTCAGCCACTCCCCACTGCGCACAGCCACGGCACGGAGCTCAGACGAGTCAGGTGTCCACGGCAGGGCTCAGCCAGTGCTGTGCTGGCCCGGAGCCCCGCACGTGGTGGCACTGCCCCAGCCCCGTGCCGGGCAGCAGCACGCCTGGCCACGGAGATGGAGTCACAGCTGCACGCTGCGGAGCTGCCAGGTGCACCCGAGCAACACGAGGCCACCACGGTTTGCAGAAACCAGAGCAAAGGTCTCGAGTCCTTTGAGGGAAAAGGCCTGGGCAAAGTGCAGCGCGGTGCGTCCTTGGCCGTGTTTGCAGTGAACGCAGCCCATCCGGTCCCGCAGGACCGCACCGCCGGGGTGCGCTGCGCTCTGCAGCCGCCTCTCTGCCGCGCAACGGCTGAGCATCACTCACCGGCTCCTTCACGTTTCTGTGGCACCGGCAAAGGGCTCTCGTTAACAGAATATAATGTGCAGTGAAAATAATTGATGAGCATCTTGTAACAATTGATTATCTGTCCGCTGTTCTGCTGCTCTGCTCATACATTAATGGATGGTGCTTTTCCCTGCGCGGTTCAGAGCAGTGGAGACGCAGCGTGTCGGCACCCAACTGCTCTGTGCTGCAGTCTGAACAGACCTCAGGTGCACTGAGATGATTGTAGGAGGGCAGGGAGCAGCTGGATGTGCGTGGCACAGCCTGGTGCTGCACAGCCGTCCCCCTGGGCACGCTGCAGCCTCGGCTGCACGCAGGGCAGCTCGCTTCTCTGCTGACTCCCAAGCAGACTCAGTTTTTCTGGGCGGATGCCCTCAGGCCAGCAGCTCCACCGCCTCCTCTTCCCAGCACGGCATCAGCACAACTCGTGCCAGTGCCTTCACCAGGCGGCTGGGAACAGAGGAGGTTGTTTGCAGAGCAGCAGCCCTGACTGCTCAGCCAGAGCTGCAGACTCAGCAGAACTCAAAGCCACCGAAAAACCTGAACAAACTCCCGCGTGCGCGGAGCCAACCTGCAGCGGGCAGGAACCCAGATCCTCTCCTCATGCTTGTCACATGAATGAGCTCTGCTCTGGGCTCACGCCTTTCATCTCGGAGGGGATTGTGTGCATTACGGGGGGATTAGGCTGCTCCACCAGGACCGGTGTGTGCAAGGCTCCAGGCTCACCCCCTCCCTCCTGCTCCAGCCTTTGGTGACCCGATGGAGACACAGCACGGCCCCTGGGGCAGTGAGACCAGTGGGGTCACAGAGAGCTTGCCCCACACTGCCTCGATACCTGGAACTGGGCAGAAGCAGAGCTTCTGGAAGGGAGCAGGCACTGTGATGGGAGGTGTGAGCCTGGCCAGCAGCCACAGAGCCCATCCGCTCCCCCCGGAGCCCCGGTCACTGCTGCACATCGCCGGCCAGAGAGCGCAGCTGGCTTGGAAAACAAACGGCATGGGAATTAGCTCCCAACTATTTCCTCAATTCTACCTGCTATGAAGGGAATTTTATTTTGCTGCCCAGAGAGGAAGGAAGGCAGGCTGTCTGAGCGCCTTGAGGAAACACCTCCGATAACTCCTGCAGAGCACAGCCAGGCCAGCACCGCACCCCACGGCCCCCAACCTGCCTGCAGCAGCCTCACACAGGGATAACACTGCCCACAGCAGCACCACTCCCTCCCCAGGGATCTGAGGCTGCAGAGCAGAGGCCACCGTGCCACCCATCAGCATGCATGCAGCCCAACCCACACCCTCACGCCTGAGTCACCTCACTGTTCAAGGCAGGGCTGCAGCACACCTAGTGCCACACACCAGCCCCTTCCTCATCAGCCCAAGGCAGGGCTGCAGCCCTCAGCCAGACCGCCAAGCAGCGCCGTGCCACCTCGAGTAAACAGCAGGACTGGGGAAATGAGCGTTATCAGCTCACCAATGCAAAACAGGAGGAAATTATTTAAACATCTTTTCCTTAAGAAGCCAAATTGGCCGTCAGCCCAGCTGCCTTTCAGAAGTCACAGGCAGGGAAGCAGCGTTACTTACAGTAAAGCGTGTGTCAGTAATTGTGCTACTGGATTCCAGGGAACAGGACTCCAGCTCCTCCTGCAAGGCTCACAGGGGTCAAGCACAGCAGCTCCAGCTGAGCCCTTCCTTCTGCAGAAGGAATCATCATTCCAGAGCAGCCAGCAAGCACAGGAACAGCCTGCAGGCTGCCTGACCGCCACGTAGGGCTCAGGAACCAGCTCAGCCTCCATACCCACACAGCCCCCTTACCACCAGGGGAGGCCCAGCACCACTGGAACCATCAGTGCCTACAGAACAGGGACCACACCGCAGCTCATCACGGTTAGTTTATTGCAACAGGAACCAGTTATGGTAACTACAATAGACGCAGAACTTGACGAAAAATACAATTACTCAGTCTTCCAGTATTACAAGCTCAGTACAATAAAGTCCTTTTGTACAAAAATACTGTTGGCTTTATAAAGTTACTCTACAGTATGAAATACCCTGGCCTTTTTTTTTTTTTTTTTTTCCTGTGAGATTTGGAGCTGGCTGACAGTAGAGAACTGCAGCAGCCAGGAGAGGTGCAGAGCAGAGCAGTCAGCACCCTGAGTGAGGCCACCACGGGCACCAGGCACCCCATGGGGTGATGGGGGGCAGCTGGGTTCCGTCCTCCTGGCAGCACCAGGCCTGCAGACATCCACAGCAGCACAGACAGCACCAGAGGCTGCAGCAGGGCTTGGGGTGGGAGCCCCTCCATCACAGCTCTACCCACAGAGCAAACAAAGCGGGCCCCCACCGGCAATGAAGAGGAACCTTACAGCTTTCATAGGCATCCTGCTAAAAAGAGAGGAAAAGCTGTCTCTAAAAACAGAGCGCGTAGGAACAAACCTGGCTGTTGCCATCTTGCAGCTAGAGAGATGGAAAGAGGCACAAAACACACACTTCACCCCTTGCTGGAGCCACAGCAGCTTCTGGCCCAAGCAGGGCACCAAGCAGGGCACCAAGCAGGGCACCAAGCAGGGCACCAAGCAGGGCACCAAGCAGGGCACCAAGCAGGGCACCAAGCAGGGCACCAAGCAGGGCACCAAGCAGGGCACCAAGCAGGGCACCAAGCAGGGCACACCACACCAGCAGCAGCTCGATGCAGCTGGAGAGGCAGGCAGGAACTCAGTTTCTCCCCAAGGCTGTGTTTTCCTGACATGCAAAGACTGTAGTGAAGCAGTAAGACACGCACACAGGCATGCACACACACGCACTCCTACACACCCCACGTCGGGCACTGTGTCAGCCTTGGCCAGGCCCATGGGAAAAGGCACTTCTCCTGCATGCAGCAGTTTCAGGCCAAGGAGCTTCTTGCTGCAGGAAAAGATCTGCATACCGAGGCTCAGCCGTCCTCAAAGGGAAGCACCAAGTTTCTTTGCTGCCTCTTCTCTCACAACACAAAAACCTGCCAAGGTTCTGCACCATACCTGACCGGTCAGCCTGCTGCTTTAACCCCACTCGTCTCCCCAGAACCAGCCCAAAATACACATCTTCTGGCACATTTCTGGAACATGCTGTCAGCATGAAATAAGAGTTAAACATTAAAAGGGATAATTGTAAAAAAAAAAAAAAAAAAGTTTATTTGAAAAAAATAGCCTCTCACAAGGTTTCTGATCAATGTGTACTATAACTTGAGAGCCACGAACCTGCTCCACGTACATTGAGATATTTTCCAACACTAAAAAATAAAAAATAAATACTTACAAATTCTTTCCTCCCCTTTACATGTCCTAAATGAGAGCGGTAAGGCATCCATCACCTTAAGATCTTAAGTTGAACAGACGCAAATAAAAGAGGTTTTTCTAAGAGATAAAAGAGGAAAAGCAGAATGCCTGTCTCAGGGATGCATCTACAACAGTCTGGTCCACCCGGCCCCTTCAGTCTGTAAAGCATTGAGCACCCAAACCCACTTGTCTCAGCTGGATAAGATGCTGGGCTGCTGTCCTCCAGGTAGAAGCCTGTCCTGGATCTGTTGTGGAGAGGCCAAGGGATGTCACCTGCTCCAAGCCCTGCTGCGGTGCCAGCTGAGCTCCACTCATACACATTTCCTATTACATCTTATTACACTGAGAAGAGTTCCTGCCTCAGCAGAGCCAGGTTCCCCACCCGTGGGCACAGACCCCAGCACCCAGGTGATGCCTTGCTAAGGGAGGATTTGCTCAGGCCCAGAGTGGGCGACAGGAGACGCTGCCTGATATGAACTGCAGCCATCCTTCTCCAACCTGCTTATCCCATGAGAACCAAAACTACAAAAAAGGAAGAATTGTAAAGAACTACAGTAGCTAAAAAGTTTTCAAATCATGCCTGAAGACCACCTAACAGAGCCAGGAGGCATCTGGCATGGAAGCTGAAGACCCACTGCCTCCATGCCCAGTGTCTGCAATAAGAAGCGTGTGAAGCAGGGTTCATCTGGGGCTCAGCCCTGACACCTATCGTGCTCCAACAAACCCAGTATCCTGCTGTTTATGGCTTATATCAACAGAACTCTCAAAGATGCACACGAACGCACACACATCAAACCCCAAGAATACAGAGCTAAAGCACGGCTTAGAGTAGAGTTAAGGCTCATTCAGATTCAGCTAGATTTGAAGACTGTAAGGCACATATTAGTACAATCGTGTTACTGTTAAAAAGCCAGAATATAAAAAGTCATCCCTTCCCCCACCCCCACCCCAAACATGCGAGGATACTGCGCATGTAGCTCTGTTACCTTTGAACACAGATGGAAAGACAATTCAGAGCCTGCTTAAAAGTGAACACCTGGTTTATACACTTCTCACAGCCGCCCAACACGAGCAGAACATTTCCCCAGACGCTGCTTCAGGACAGCGGCGCTTCCCCCGACACACTGGGATTAAAACCAGTCCCTCACATGTGGCTTTCCTCCTCTTTGACACCATCCTCTGTGCTCTTCTGAGGCAAGGTAGCCACGTCGTTGTTTGCTTCTTTCTGTTTCTCAGCCTCATCGATGTTGGTCTCCTCCTCTTTCCCTTCGTTCTTCGTCTTCTCCTCCGCCGCCTTCTGCTCCTTTGCCACCAGGCGGTAGTTGATGCCCATCCCAATGAAGAGGTAGATCCCAGCGATGATGAGGATGATCCCACAGGCCCAGTATGTGTACTTGTAGTCACCATACATGTCGTTGAGCTTACCTGATGGGACAGAGAGAGGAGGGTTTAACAAGACTACCTCCAGTGCTGCCTGCAAACTGCTCGGGGTTCAGGAAGCATTCCCAAGAGCAGCCCAAGCCAACCACATTTGCTTCAGGCCTATTCCTTCTGCTTCCCCGGCTCACGCCAGGGCTCAGCCCATCTCTCATTCCCCCAGATGTCACAGCAGGTCCAAAGCTGCTGCTTACCTTCCCTCACCTGCACCCAGGCACAGAGAGCACCACCCACAGATGGGACCAGTAGCCCCACTGGTCTACTGCTACTAGTAGCAAAGCCAGACAAGGAGAAGCAGCACACAGAGACATCCTACCGAGCAGGGGGGGTCCCAGAAGCACGGGGCAGCACTCCACGATGGTCACAAGGCCAACAGCACTGGAGAACCTCTGCGCTCCCACCAGGTCCATCAGGGTTTCAAACAGCACCGAGCTAAGCCAGCCGAAGGCAAAGCCAAAGAAACCAGCATAAATGCAGAACCCAGCGTAGGTGGTGGACATGGGGGCCAAGAGGTGGCACACCCCATTGTAAATCACAGAGATGGCAAAGAAATACTGGATTCTTGGTCGGATCCACTTGGTGTTTGCCACCAGTCCCATGGAAGGTCTGGCTACCATGTCTACGAAGGCCAGGATGGACAACAAGAAGGCTGCAGACTCGCTGGCAATCTTCTTGCTCTTTGCATAATTGCTGAGGAAGACCAAGGGAGTGAACAGCCCAAAGAACATGATCACGTTGCCTGAGAGATAGAGCAGGAAGCCTCTGTGTGTGAAGAGGGACAGATCCAAGAACTTGTTGATCGTCTGGAAAAGCGTGCTCTTCTGTTTCTTTGTCTTCCCACCGATGAGGTCTGTGCTGGTATCGCCATCACCTTTTTTCACTGCTTTCCCAGCTTCCTGCAATACCTCTTTAGTGGGCTCTTTTTTCAGCTGGTCTGGCTTGGGACCAATGGGCCGCATGAGGGATCCAGCAACGCAGCAGTTCAGCAGGAGACCACCGAGGATGAGGAAGCTCCCTCGCCAGCCAAATATGCCAAAGAAGAGCTGGTTCACAGGTGCCAAGGTGGACAGGAACACGGGGCTGCCTGCCATAGCCAGTCCATTCGCCAGGGGACGCTTCTTGAAGAAATACTTGCCAATCATGGTTAAGGCAGGGTTCAGGTTAAAGGCAAGTCCAAGGCCTGAAGAGGAGAAATGAAGGATTCAGAGTTCTACATCCCCAGAAGCCAGCAGTGATGACAGAGGGGCTCAGCAAGAGGAGCAAGAGATCAGTTCTTTGTGTTCAATACTACCACTTCAGCTGTATTAACCTTCAACCTGTATGAGCAATACTCAACACCTCAACACCCACCGTGGAGGTAATTGGGAGGACAAGCTGTATGCATGAGTTAGGAAAGCTGAAAAGACAGACCTGCTATGACCCCTGACAGACCTTACATCTACTAGCATGGCACAATCCTAACCTGAGACAGGAATAAAGGGAGGCTTTCTATTTTAAGTAGGCGAGTGAGTGCCTGTGCACTTACATTCCTCCTGCATTGCATCACCAGGGCCATCCTCTTACTGGAGCACATAAAGGGAATTGGGACTTACGCAAATTCATAGTAAGCATTTCCTGAGAATTACTAGACAGAAGCTGCTCCTCTGAGAAAGGCTTCTCAGTCACAATCCCATCAGAGCACAGCTGGCACTTACCCCCAACGACCCCCACACAGAAGTAGAGCTCCTCCACGGTGTTGCAGAAAGAGGCTGCAATCAAACCACACCCCGAGAGGCACCCACCCACGATCATGATGGGCCTGCTGCCGTACTTGTTCACCAGGATGCTGCTGATGGGACCTGGAGAGTCAAAGGAGACATGCCCAGAGGTGAGTTACTGTCATGGTTGCCTTCGCTCAAGTGACCAGGCAGACATGTGCACAGGAAGACTTCATTTCTACACAGTGCCATTTCACCCAGCAAAGGAACTGGGATAAGAGGGAAGGACTGAAGGACCAAAGACAGCTGGAGACAAGAAATGGTGACATTTAGTTAAAGCACGTGCTGAAATCCCAACTGGAAAAGCAAGACTCTAGCAAGTGCCAGGGACTGCAGCCCTGCGGAGCCCCAGAAGCTGTTTACAGCTGTTGAAAGCCACAACTTCCCTGGGCAAGCAGCCTTCCACGGCCTATGCAGGAACCTGTCAGGCCACCAGCTGCCCCGCAGCTTCCCAAGGACCAGGGCAAAGGCCCTGCCCCGTGCTCTGTATCCAGCATGGCCCAGGGGCTTGGCAAAACATTACAAGGTGACAGTTTGCATCCAACATGATGTTTCTGGTGGAGGACAAGGCCATGAAGCAGCAGCTTTGGTGGGTGCTGGGCAAAGTGCACCAAGGGCCTGCAGAAGGGAAGGCTCCTGCACAATGCAGGGAGATTGAGGCAAAGTTTTCACTGCTACCCCCTGAAGCAGGAGCAGCCCAATCGCTGTGCACACCGCCTTTTAAGTGCTTCATTATCAGGAGCTTTAATCCAAAGCAAACAGTGATTAGATACTGCAAAGCATGCTCTACAGATACTAAAATGTATTTAAATAAACTGAATGAACATCCATTGAATATTAACAGACCTAGTTTCACCATTAACAGATAGCGAGGTTGTCAACATGTTATTCATGGGTCCTCAGACACTACTTGACCTTTCTGCCTAGTTTAAACAAAGCCTAGAGAACATTTGGGAAGCCCAGCTGCTACTGCAGCTTCTGCAGCAGAGGAAGCTGCACTCCACCAGGCTGGAGGGATGCATCTGTCTGTGTGCAGGTAACAGCAAGTGGTGCAAAACCAGTGAGCTACTGGATCTGATGGGCACTGTTCAGTACGAGCAGCTGGCAGCATCAGCATAAGGCACAGGACAAGGGAGTCTTCAGGATTAGAAGCAAAAGTCACTGCAAGTCCAAGCAGCAGCAGGCATCACAGGTTCTGGGGCACGCAGAGGGACTGTTCTCAGTGCATTAGGAAAAGGAATGGCCCAGATCAAGCCTCATTAAGGCAGCTACACTGTTTACAAGCTTGTTATAACATTGGAGCAGAGAGATGTGCCCACTGCCTCGCTTGCTAAGCAAGGACAAAGCAGAGCCTGTTCCCCAAAAGGAAGAGCCTCATGCTCAGCCAGGCCGCTAACGTCAGCTCCTTTTGATGCACAAATGCAAATAAGACCAGGCATCCTGCCAGCTGGGGATGGCAGCAGTACAAGCTCCGATTTGCCACTGAAGTGCACACAACAGCAGGGTCCCAGTAAGAACTTCTTTCAGCCAGGTTACCCGGTGCAAAACTGCATGTGCAGGCTGGCACAAGGCACCGGGGCTTAGGAACTTGGAACACATGACCCCAGCGGAGCAACATCTGCCTGCTACTTGCTGGTGTAAAAGCAAGCATGAAATGTACAGCTTGGGGATTAGGAGACTCCAAGCAGTTTCTGAAGGACAGGAGAGGGGAGCTGTTTCACTTTAAGCAGTTGGCTTTATTCTGCTCGTGTTTCTGATCTTCCAGTGCACGCTGCCATCTCCAAACACAAGCTGTCTAAAGCACTGCTCAGCACCACTGGGAAGAGCAGACTACATCCGTTTTCAGTGCACATTTCAGCAGTCAGAGCTGACCAGAAAAGGGAACAGATTCTGGTAGGCAGTCAGTGCTTACTGGATTCCAAAATTAAGCATCTTGAACCAGGAAAAGACCCTGTAACAGGGCTTCTGTGCTCAGCACAGCTACTCTCCCCAGCTTTCTGGCAGGTGCTGAGGGCAGACAGATCCTCAACCACACACTGTTACAAGAACAAGGGCAGAATTACACAAGTTGTAATACCCCGGAAAGCATTTACCTACAGCTTTGCTGAAGAGGACAGATTAACCCAGCTTTTGCATTCTGGACACTGAAAAGAACTTGGAGCAATCTACTCCAAGCAAGCTTGCTAAAGACATTTTGCTCTCACGTAATGAGAAAATCCTAACTTTTATCAAAGTTTTGACTGTTGTCACTACAGCAAGACGCAATTAATGAGGCCCAGCATCTCATACTCCAAAGCAAGAGCACATGAAATGCTGTCCTCAATTCTCTTACCTCCTGCATACATAACAGCCAGCATGATAGAGGAGATCCATGAGACTTTGCTGCTAGATGCGTTGAAGATGACCTCAATCTCTTTGAAGAACACAGTGATGGATTTGGGGAAGGCATAGGAAAATCCAATGGAGATGAAGGCTCCGATGACCACAGCCCATCCCCAGCCTCCTTCAGGAGGAGTGTATCCCACAGGGCCTCCGATGGCCGGTGGCATCTTGAATGAGGCTGGCAATGGATCAGCTGGGGTTCAAAGATCTGCAAAGGACAAAGTATCACGTCAGCTGAATACAGAGTGCTGTAAACTCATTCCCCTGCTATGCAGGGCCCCATCCGCAAAGGGCACAGCACCCAACAACCCCAGTGCTGCAAAGGAAGCTGGCAGCCACACCAGCACCCCAACTCCCTCCAGGAAGGCTGCTCCCAGGGGGGAGAATCCAGGTTTGCAGGCAGGCTTTGGAAAGTTATCTTAAACCAAACGCTCAGATCACTGGTGGCCTTTAAAAGCACTGGCAAGCAGGTGTTTATAAAGTACATATTTAAGAGATGACATCCTATTATAAGCTGAAAAGGGCAAGCCGTGATCTTACAAGAGTAGCTGAACACAGCAACAAAAAGAAGGCATTCAAATGGCTGCTCTGACAGTGGCACCAGGCCGGGCCCTGCTAGGTCCCACAATACAGAACCCATCAGTCTGGGGCCTGGGAACCTCAGCACAACTGGAAATCCCAAAACCAGTTCTCATTTGATGAGCAGCATCCACACACCCCTCTCTGACCCATCACACACAAAGTCAGGAAGATGCCAGTGCTTTGGCCAACAGTGAGTGCTCCATGCAGGCCAGTGAGGGGCAGGTGTGCTGGGGATCCTGCAGCCCACAGGTGGGCAGGAAGATCTGGGAAACCCCAAAATGGGGTAAAAGAAGGGAAGGGACTCCTGAAGTCCTCCAGAGCAAGCACCTCATGCAACAGAGAGCTGCCCAGAGCAGGGCAGCACTCCCAGGTTCTTAAATACACACCTACCAGATAAAACTGTGCACAAGCCAGGACTTTCTGCAATGCAGGCAGGTGTCAAGACAGCACACCCATTAGTCCTGCATTCCCAGAAGGTCACACGCTGCAGCTAAACTTAGCTGTGAGCAACAACAGTGGGATGCTGCCAGGGCTCTGTCCTCCCCTGGGGCAGGGAGGGGGAGGTGCTCCAGCCCTCCCAGGAAACTCTGCATCCCAGCACTACTAAAATCCCTCCTGATACAAAAAAGGCCATTCCCAGCACAAGGGAACGCAGCTGGGACAGTGCTGCTCATGCACCCCCAGCAGCACAGGTCCTGCACAGGCTGCACAGCTGGCACACACCTTGAAGCTGCAGTTACTCGAAAAAACAAGGCTGTTCAGACAGCAGCACAATCCATCCCGCAGAGGAAACACAACCAAACCAACCACTTGCATGGTTTCACTGTATGCAAAACAGGAACTGCCACAGCCCCTGAAGCTCACATGTGCCCCTGCAGATTTCAGGATGCCTTCAGAGCTGGGTTCCCATGCAGCAAGATGCCTGCTGCAAGGCAGCACCGCTGAGAAGGGCAGAGCCTGGAGCTGAAGCACTGCAGAGGCTCCCCCAGCCCTGCTCACGCTGAGCCTTGTGAGCACAGAGGGGAAGGAAGGCGCACATCAAGCTCCTTCAGCAGAGCCTAAACGCTCTCATACAATATTCCGGCTCAGGCTTTCACCTGAAGACATAACGGAGCACCAGACGTTTCTGCAGAGCTCCTATAGGTGACACAAGGCAGCGGCATCTCGCTCCCTGGCACAGAGGTGCAATGCACCCTATTGATAGCACACATCCGCTCGGCCTCACGGCGATTACCATCGCATCCACGGCCGCTCTCATGCCAGCATCCACCTGGCACGTTCTGCTGTGCTCTTGGCAGCCAGCTCCTTCCCACGGCCGCCCAGATCACTTTCACCTCACAGCACAGGCCAGGCCCCGTGCGGCCCTGCAGCTCCATCCCCACACCACGGGGAGCCCCGAGGTCGCCCTAAGCCTTTAAGACTGGTTTAGCCTGAGCCAGGCGTGGATCTTTTTGGCTGGAAGGGTAATTTAATTCACCCACGCTCCAGCCAGCGCAGCACATGACTGTCATGAGCACACGGGCTCCTCCACTCACAGGAATCATTCACAGGATGCTCCTCTCAGCAATCCCCAGCAGCTCGACTCGCTGAAGCCACCAGGCGAGTGGCTTCTGGCACAGCACAGCTCACCCCAAACAGCCACCACACACTCTGCCCTCAGGCAACCCACCCTTAATCACAGAACTGCAGGGGTTGGAAGGGAGCTCCAGAGCTCATCGAGTCCAACCCCCCTGCCAAAGCAGTTCCCTACAGCAGGTCGCACAGGTCGGCATCCAGGCAGGTCTTGAACATCTCCAGAGCAGGAGACTCCACCACCTCCCTGGGCAGCCTGTTCCAGTGCTCCATCACCTCACTGTACAGAAGTTCCTTCATGCATTGGTGCAGAACTTCCTATGCTGTAGTTTCCAGCCATTTTCCCTTGTCCTGTCTCCATTCACCACTGAAAAGAGTCCGGCCTCGCCATTCTGCCCCCCCACACCTTAGATATTTATAGACCTGGATCAGGTCCCCTCTCAGTCTCCTTTTCTCAAGGCTGAACAGACCCAGATCACTCAGCCTTTCCTCATAGCAGAGATGCTCCAGGCCCTTCACCATCTTCGTGGCCCTCCGCTGGACTCTTTCCAAGAGATCCCTGTCTGTTTCGTACTGAGGAGCCCAGAACTGGACGCAGTTACTCTAAGTTAAACACTGATAGAAATACTGGCGTTTGACATCACCTCCAGCCACTGCACAGCCTGCAGCTCACTCCTAGGTTTCGAGTCATACTGAGCTCTCACAGCACCCAGCGAGCTTAAGGCATCATCTAGCAGCCTTGATTTGCCATTTAAAAAAAAAAAAAATAAAATACTGCATTTTGGTAACAAAAATCCCAGCTGCTAGCCAGTAAATACAAACTACTTGATAGCACAAGAAAGGCCACCGACAGTAACAGCTATTAAACAGAACGCTGGGGATACTGCTGAGGAACACAAGTTTAGATCTTCCATCAGCCCCAAGCAGCTGAGACAAAAATCACTACGGCTGGGCTCATTCCTCTTCTATGGCTGCTCAGGTGGCATCCTTCCATAAAAGACTTTTGAAGAGCAAGACAACCTCTCTTGTAGTGCCAATGCATAGTGAAATACCTTGGACTGAAGTTGGAGACTATTAAGCAAGAACCCCAAAGTTTGATGCCAGAGGGTTTACATGAGCTCTGCATGTCACAGCACTTCGCCCTGACTCACTGCAAACCCTCATTAAGGAAGGCCAGTTTTAAAATACTTCTTCTATCAAAGGAAGGCTTCAAACGGGAGAGAAAAAGCACACGCCAGGCAGCCAGTCCAAAGGGAAAGCTTCCCTCCCCTTTGCAAAAGAAAATATATAAAGTAAATGAACAGTTATGACATTTACAGTGCTGTTTTGGAAGAGCAGCAACATGTAAGATGTGTTTGGAAATCATATTCACAGCTGCCAGGCAGCCAGCTACAGTTTGCCCTATTAGGAAACAAAGCAACCATACTAGCTGTAATTAAGACTGATGAGACCAAGTAATGACTGCAAGTATCACATCTGCTAGCCTGTGAAGTCTTGACAAACCTGCAGGAACAGGTAGCCTACAGCAAGCCCTCATCCTGCAGAGCAATGGCAGGAGCAGTTGTGTCTCTTTTTATGCAATCCAGACTGCATCAAATGGGAACAGACCCTGGGGAAGACCACAGTCCTTTCCCTCTCCCAGGCCCTATGCACTGCTGCTGTGGTCTCTTCTTTGAAGATGCCTGAATCAGGAAGATTTTAAAGACTTCTACTTACATAACCCAGCAAATCGCTGTGCTTTTTAAAGCTCCAGATTGGCAGGATTCCGGAGGAGAGACAGAGGCTCACATTTATAAAGCACCGCAAATGCTGCAAAATATTTCTGGGGCAATCCCTTTACAAAGGTAACCTCACAACGCTCTTTTTCAGGGCAGAAGGGGTTTCTCCCACAAGCAGCACCCTGGCCATGCAGATCCCTGCCTGTCTCCTCACATCCATCCCTCCCACTGGGGATTTTGCTGCACCAGGCACACATTCCTATCACACTTCCTGCCTCAGGTGCTTTTAAAGCCTTTCCCAGTGGCAGGGTTTGCTCAGCTGCCACAGACAGGCAGCATCCAGGGCACAATCCAAGCACCCCTTAGAGGTCCTCACTCTGAGCTGCAGGCTTATACTTATTGCTGGGGAGATGGAACTTCTAGCAACTGCAAGCTGGGGAGAGCAAGTAACATCTCACAGCTTCAAATCAGGACATTTTCTGGCCAGAGAAAAGATCAAATAGAGATTGTTATCAACTAATGAGACACTGCTTCCACTGGCTTTAAGCACATTTGTAGAATTAAGCACAGGGATGTAATTCCAGTGCCCCTAGCCAGGGTTTTAACCTGGCTGTGCATGGCATACGTGACGACCCAGCATTTGCAGGGACTCTGCACCAAAACAATACTCAATTGAGGTCCTGCTCAGCTGAAGCATTTGTTCCCAGGGTGATGCGAGGTCAGTAGCATGTAAAGTTTGCCCAAGGACAGCAGCCCACGCAGATGAGCTCAAGGTTCCTTCGCCAGCCACAGCACAGCCTGCTCAGCACCCCTCCTCTGCCCAAGGATGGCCAGCAGAGCCCCAGACATGCTGCAGTCTGTCAGCCTGGCGAGCAGACAAGCAGATGCCAGAAGGCATGGCTTCGTGCTCAGCAGAGGTGCCAGTGGCTGCTGCCTTCACCTTTTGCTCAGCTCCGGATCCCACAGCAGTGCAAGCCCCAGCCTGCAGTGCAGGATCTGAGTTGTGCAGCAGCCCACTCAGCAGCACCAGCGCTCACCTCAGCAGGGCTCTGGGCTCCGCTGGAGCATCACTCACTACAAACAGCGGCTGAGGACAGAGACTGTAGGGATCTGAAGATAATCTCCCACACAGCAGCCACCACACCTGGTTTGTGGGCTGCAAGAGGAGGTTGCACTGCTGTGCATTGACCCCATCCAGGCAGCTCCTCACCGCCTGCAGCCATCAGCACTGCCCTCCTGCCTGCAGGGAGCTGATGCAACAGGACTCTGAGGTTGTTTGTCAGAAGCACAAAGCAGGGCAGGAAGGAAAAACAAAACAAACAAGAAAGCAGGTACC